AGACCTCATTCCCAAGTTCAGGGAGAACAACTTGGCTATTGACATACATGTTGTCAAATAGCCTTTTAAGTCAGATTTTCCATTTTTCAAGTGGTGTTAGGGTGTTGTCTAGATGAAATATCTGTCATCATATCATATGGGCACATCTGTTTACTAGATTTAACTGAACCCAAAATTAGAAGGTGATTAGAACAGCAGATTTGGAATAGGATAAAAAACAAGACAGGCAGTTTAAGAAGGCTCTACAGTCTTTATTACTCATGGTGTTAGCTTACAAAAAATGACAGTTATAGTTTAGGCAGGACCTTTCATATTGAAAAAGGAAGTCTTAAAGTATCAATTAATTTTAATGAGCTGTCTTTCTAATGATATATACATATATATCCCTAAAGTCATTCCAACTGTACTTATCAACATCTGGAAGCGGTAGTGGGTAAACCACATGCTTAGTTCTTAACTTCAAACATTTTTTGAAAGGAATCTTTTGTAAATTCTGGATGGAGGCTATGAATTGTTACCAGAAATACACTTTTTGATATATTATGTCTGAGTTTTTAAGGAGTCTGATATCTGAAACTCAATTCTAGAGCAATTTGAAGCTTAGAAATAAGAGAAAAAATAGCAAGAATGTGAATAGATTAGAAGAGCTGCATATGCTATAGTACTCACCGAAAGACTTCCTTTTTTCCCTCTCTCCTTCCTTCCTCTCTTCTTTTTTTTCTCTTCTCCTCTCCATTCTCCTCTTTCTCTCTTTTTTAGGGGAAGGGGGAGGAGAGACTAAAATTTCAGCAGCTACATAGCTAGCACATAGCCCAAAAGATAATGTTGTTTACTTCTTTGCCTAATCAGAAGAATGGAAAACCTCTAAACTTTTAAAATCCAGCTCTGCACATTGAGAATCATAGGAGAAGTAGATGAAAGAGGAAAGTGAAGAGAGAAAGAAAGGAAAAAGAGAAATGTATCTTAGAGGAAGGGCAACATCAAAGTGGCAAACACTAGCAGAAAACACACTGACAACAGAGTGTAACAAGTAGAGTGCAGCACTATTTACAATAGCTAGTTATAGAAAGCACCCAAGGATAGATGAATATTTTAGGATGATATGGTATATTTGCACAACTGAATACTACTAACTATAAAAAATTTGAACTTTTACCATTCGCAACAATATGGATGGAGCTGGAAGGGGTCATATTAAGTCAAAAGAAGAAAGACAAATACTGGATGGCTTAACTTGCATTGACATATAGAGAAACAATGGGTCAGAAAGAACTGAATAAATAGTAAATCCTAGAAGTCTGACTGTAGATTTGAGGTTATGAGAGAGATAGGGTAGAAAGCAGGGTGTGGAGGAGGTCAAATGGACTATGGTGGAGGATTATGGGTGCCTGATGGTGAGTGTAGTGTGATAACACACATTTGCAAAGGTGTGATCCTATACTTCTGAATCCTAGGCAGTGTTGTATACCAATGTTACATCAATTGAAAAAGGAAGATAATGCAGAATATGATATCATGAGGTTCACCAGAATTCAATCCATGTACATGGTTTACTCATTCCAACCATGTTAATTGACTTAATATTATGTGCCTGACAGTAGGAAAATCCTGGAAGATTCAAAGATGGTAAAGACTGTCCTTGTCTGTGTCCTGCAAGGGCTTATTGGCAATTGAAGGTAGGAGAATGTGGTGACATACTGTAGGTGGGATGCTATTTGCTTAAATATGATGTAGTAGGAGATTAAAAGAGGAACTTATCACTTTTCCTTGGAAGTGGGGGAGGGAAGGTAAGGAAAGACTCCATTGGAGAGGTGACACTTGAACTAAGCCTTAAAGGTTATGCACTGCTTTTTAGATTCTGGCAGGGTCCAGTTAAAACTTTCCAAATAAGAATATTTTCATGCTGCTCATCTCATTAGCAATCATAATGGTGTATGAGACATCTAAGAAAAAATTTTATTTATTTTTTTCCTTTTTTTTTTTTTCTTTAAAGATTCATCCATCTATGATTACAAGAAGTGGGGTACAGGCCAGAGGTGCGGAAGGTGACAGGATTCACCAGACACAGAGCAGGAACAGAACAGGCAGATCCATTGAAATACACTGCTGAGGGGAGCAGGAGGCGAGACAGGAGAGGTCTGCTGTGCCATGTGGGTTGCTCCCTGGATGGGGATCGAACTTGCGCTACAGAGGCTGTGGACAGCTTCACAGTGCTGCGCTCAACCCCTTGCACCACAAGGGAGGCCCTAAGAAAAATGTTTATGTTCAAAGCAACTTGTACGTACTTTAAGACAGTGTGGTGGCTCCGTCTTCTTTGATCACCCTTGCTTGATCTGGCCTTATTTGAATTACCTTTCCACTGCCTGTGGTTTCCTCCACTACTGAACTGCTCATTCCACAAGATCTTGAAATACTTCTTGAGTAAATTCCAAAAGTAGTATAGGAAATAATGCTTAGGACAATGAATTAAAACTTTCAGAATGAATGAATAAATGTGGGGAGGCCCTCATCACTTCAAAGGATTATTCTTTGATTATTTGGAAAATAAAATATTTGGTTCTATGCCCTTCTTTATTACAGAATTGTGAATATGAGGTTGAAACTTTATCATGGTACTGCTTTACCTCACTATTGGAAAATAAGCACATTGCAAGTTAAGGAAGGATAGTGTAGGTATTGGCTTCGAACCACGTATACTTTTAGAGAAATGTTACCTGTGATTAGAAAATAACAGGACTGTAGTGCAGCCCCGGTCCTAGGTTTCTATTCAGGGTGGGTTACAGAGAGAGAATGAAAATCATTGTCAACAGCATGAAATTCATCCATGGAGGCTACTTTAGTGCTGCCCGTTTTAGGAGAAAGATGGATAAGGCAGATATCCAGCCCTGTCCTATCTCTGGAGTCTGTTATATGTGTCAGCTTCTGGTTGTTTAGAGCAGTGCTTGCAAGAGCGAGACACACGTTTTCACACTAGACCTACTGAACCAGAATTTCCGAGCCCGGGCCATCTGTTTTTATGTAAATTTCTTTCAATGATTTGGTTGCTGAGCCAGGCTGGTAAACCACTGATGAATAATAAATCAATCCTATGACCTAAATAGATAACATTGATTTTTAAAAATCTCAAATTGTGAGATGGACTGTTTTCTAATTAAATTCATCTGTCACTCAATGTTGACGGAACAGACTATCAAAAGGCCCTATTTTTAATTTTCTGATTGCATTATGAAATTAATATTTTTATTTCATGATCCAGGGCTCAACAGTTCTCTCTTGGAAGTTCACCTTACCCGCCCCATAATTTTTTGTGGGTGTGGAGATGTATTTTTCTGGTAATTGAAAATGTAGGTCAGAATGTTTGTGAGAACTGCTCTGCAAATGGAAAGTTCTGCAGCATATAAATCCAAGATACTATTTTTATTGCCTACTAATTACCTGAAGACCTATTTATACATTGAAAACCAACTTTCAAGTTGAGGTTACAAGGTATATATAACCATATCTGACTAGCCACATTTCCTTAAAATGTTTATGTAGTCAAATGCATCACATTCAAAATTAAAAATATGGATGCATAAGTCACACAAATAAAAAGAGATCCTCTATTTCATTGAGAAGGATAAAGAGGAGATGACAGGAAATACATGTATGAAGAAATTTTAATTTATTTAAAATCAATTTAAGGAGAAAGGAAACTCCTATCTTAGCAAATAAAGTAACTTTGGAGATTAATTTTGGATAAATGCATTTTAAAACTGTATTGTTAGATAAAATAAATGATTAATCAGTTTTTTTAAAGTTTTAACTCAAGAAAAATCTTCAAAATTACAATGTAGAGATTTAGAACACAAGTATAAGCTTTTCAGTTAAAAGAAAAAAGGAACAAATTTCTCCTTCCTAAGATTCTGATAATGCCTTGATAACCAATTCCAAAAAAACATTTCAAATTTTCAGGAAAAAAACCCTGAAAAATACAAATAACTGATATTCAGATAATCAGAAACCACAAAATAGATGTAAATAAATGCACGAATACTTAATACTGGTTGAGAATCAACATTGCATTAATTAAAAAAATTAAACATTATAGGAAAATACACTGACATTTTCTAAGCTGTTGGTATATTAGAGATAATCTCCATAAGGAAATATTGCTACAAAATATTGGACATAATAAAGTAGATTTATTCTAAAATCTTTCCAAGAATAAAATTGGAATTATTATATTGATAATAGAATTTATAATTTGTAAAGATGCTGTAGTGATGTTTTCCCACAGTGAAATCCTTGATAAGAAAAATACCCCCAAATCATAGCCTACTGAGATTATTCAAGACATGTTATGCTAAGAAATAGAAATAAAATTATCCTTGTTAAACTGTAGCATAATGACATTAATTTACATTACAATCTCAATTTTAAAAGTTTGGCATTATCTGTAGTTATTCTATTTTATCAGTAAATAAAGTTCAATAAGTAAGATATTGAAATATGTATTTGACCAGCAGAACTCCACTCTGTGCTCGAAATTTAGTTGACTTATAAACACCATTAAAGGAATGCTGGCTGTTTCAATATGCTTATTTCATAAAGCAAACAAAATATGGAACTTTGAAAATGATAAGTTCTGGGGAGTTAAGTTCCTATTAACTGTTCAGATAGCCAAATTTATTAATTTATTTTAAGATATAATATTTTCCTGGTGCTTATGTGTATATGGATATTATTAACCCATATAATTCATTATTTCAATACAAAGAAGTAAAACAAAACAAAAATACAAACTAATATGACCTGTTTACTAAAAACATGCACTTTTTTTACAGGGTCACACAATCTGCTATTGTGAAATAGTTTTTAAAGCCTAGAAATTCTAGTCATCCATTCTGAGGATGTGTCTCATTGTCACTTATTTTCATTTAAGCAGGTCTACATTTCCTTGAGCCTGATAGAGGTGAAGAAGACAGAATATGGTATTAGAATTCCTCTTAACTTGATAGAAGTCAAGATGTGGCTAGAAGGGCAGGTGGCAATAATTTTTGGATAGTGATGACATTGCTGGTTTACACACTAGCAACAGTCTATTTACCTTGACTCAGTGGAAAGTGGAGGAAAGCAGTACCATCACTATGACCTAGATAAAGGAAAAATGTAAATCCTTCAGCACATTCAGAAACATTTTCTGTGGACGATGGGAGGACCTGCCTCATCATATTCTTGCTTACTGATCCACATTTGCTGGAATGTGGACAGGCTGGCCAGAATGGAGCCCCCGATCCAAACCGAATACTTCCGCTCTGGGGGAGCTATGATCTTGATTTTCATGGTGCTGGGTGCCAGGATGACGATTTCTTTCTGCATCCGGTCGGCGATGCCAGGATACATAGTGCTGCCTCCAGACAGCACGGTGTTGGCATAGAGATCCTTGCGAATATCCACATCACATTTCATGATGGAGTTGAAAGTTGTCTCATGGATCCCACTGGACTCAATGCCCAGAAAGGAAGGCTGGAAGATGGCCTCAGGGCAGCGGAAGCGTTCATTCCCGATTGTGATTACCTGCCCATCGGGAAGCTCATAGCTTCGTTCCAGCACGGAGGAGGCTGCAGCGTTGACCATCTCTTGTTCAAAGTCCAGGGCGACGTAGCACAGCTTCTCTTTGACGTCTCTAACTATCTCCCGTTCAGCTGTCGTGGTGAAGTTGTAGCCTCTTTCCGTCAGGATCTTCATGAGGTAATCCGTGAGGTCTCTGCCAGCCAGATCCAGCCGTAGAATGGCATGTGGCAGGGCATAACCTTCATAGATGGGCACAGTGTGAGTGACCCCATCCCCAGAATCCATCACAATGCCTGTGGTTCGGCCTGAGGCGTAGAGGGACAGCACAGCCTGGATAGCCACATACATGGCAGGTGTGTTGAAGGCCTCAAACATGATCTGAGTCATCTTTTCCCGGTTGATCTTGGGGTTCAGGGGTGCCTCTGTGAGGAGGATGGGATGCTCATCTGGTGCCACTCGCAACTCATTGTAAAAAGTGTGGTGCCAGATCTTTTCCATATCGTCCCAGTTGGTGACCACTCCATGCTCAATGGGATACTTCAGGGTCAGGATGCCCCTCTTGCTCTGGGCCTCATCACCCACATAGCAATCCTTCTGGCCCATGCCTACCATGACTCCCTGGTGCCGGGGACGCCCTACCATGGAGGGGAACACGGCACGGGGGGCATCATCACCCCCAAAGCCTGCCTTGCACATCCCTGACCCATTATCTACCACCAAGGCAGACAGCTCATCATCCGTCATGGTGCTTACCAGAGTCTTCCAGATGGATGAACAGATGTTAGATCTATAGATACCAGACTATGGTGTGCAAGAGAGAAGATGAACAGGTTGAAAACACTGCAGAACTGCCTTCACAGAGCAGAGTGTGTGCTGTGATGACTGGCATTTAAAGGTAAATAATGACCCCACCCATGTCCTGTCCCACCAGCTCCAGCATTTCTGGGTGGGGTTGCCTTTGAGGTATTAATAATGATAATGATGGTTATACAAATCATTAGTAGGCCTTCCTTCATCAAGAGAAAACTAGGCTCTCAAGTGGCCAAATCTCAAGTTACTGTAATTAGGCAACCCACACATGGCTGTCAGCCTGTTTTGGTGCTGTGTCTAGATAACTCCAGTGATGCAATGGGGGCTATAAAAGCAAGATGAAAGAAAGCTGGCACTAGGGATGGGGAGCACTGTCCCTGCTGGAAGGGCCACTCCCTCCTCAGTTACCCTGTGGGTCCATTTTCTCCAGCCTACTATTAACTTCTCATTCTTAAGTTTTCTTATGAGGAGTCTGACTCTGCAGACTTCACTTTTTCAAGATTTTTTTTCCCATTAGATTTCTAGTTCCATAAAACATATTCATGACAGAAACTATTCTAATGAATGAAAATAATGAATGGGGGCCTCCCCTGTGGCGCAACAGTTGAGCGCTGGGGTTGTGAAGCTGCCCGTGGCCTCTGCAGCGCCGATTCGATCCCCGGCTGCTCCCCGGCCACCAGAGGAGGGTCCCACATGGGGCGCAGACCTCTCCTGCCGCCCGCTGCTCCCCTCAGCAGTGTACTTTGGTCCTTCTGCCTGCTCTGCTCCCTGCTCTGGCTCTGGTGAATTCTCTCACTCTCCGCGCTTCTGACTGTACCCAGTGCTTGTATAAATAAATAAATAAATAAATCTTTAAAAAAAAAAAAGAAAAGAATGAATGGACAATGATAGCCTGACAACTGTAATTATAATGCATTTGTGCCAGGTCAAAAATTTAGGGATATTTAATAGACTTCTAGTACCTTAGGGGGCAAGTAAAAGCAATAAAGAGATCAATAAAGTAAACCACTACAGACTTTCTTTCTTTCCTGTAAATTTCTAATACCCAAATTTTATTATGCACTTACTATGCCTAGACCTAGGTTTGTTGGGTCCATGTTGACACACAGAGGTTCAGTGACTATCATGCATGACTGATCAGTCAAAAAGCAGATTATGCAAACATTATGTAATGAATCTTGATTTATGCAAGAACAAATAAACTTAAGTAATAAGATACATTTTAAAATGATCTTTTTGAGCCTATCTTTAAAATTTTTTCTCCTTCAAAATTCATGTACTATATTATAGCATTAAATGTCTTTGTAGTTGTTAAAGTATTAGCTTTCTTTGAAAAGGAAAACCTTAAACCTTAAAACCCCAATAATTTCATGGAAATAGTTTGCTTAGATTTTATTTTATTTTATTTTATTTTAAAGATTTATTTATTTATGCATACAAGAACTGGGGTCTAAGCCAGAGGTACAGGGTGGTGAGAGGATTCACCAGAGACAGAGTAGGGAACAGAGCAGGCAGATTGACCGAAATACACTGCTGAGGGGAGCAGCGGGCAAGATAGGAGAGGGCTGCTAAGCCATGTGGGCTCACCCTGGCCTTCCAGGAATCAAACTTGTGCTATAATGGCTTGCGATAATTTGACAGTGCTGTCTTTAACCCCTGCACCACCAGGGGGGGCCTGGGTTTTATTTTTAACATAGAAAAATGGACAACCTGGTAAAATATGTGGCGTGATAAAATGGAAGATGTTAGTAATATGTTGTAGAGAAACAAACATAAAGAAAGGTCATTCTTTGCTCCCATATGTGCTAGGTATATAGGATATAATCTCTGTTAGCTCCTCCAAAGCAAAGCAAATTTCCATACCCACATCTGAGCTTTCCAAAATTGCCTTCATTATGGTCAATTAATTTATTAATTAAGGATCATTTTCAAAAGGTAGCTGCAGTCTCACAGACCTGAACAGAAGTAGTTCAGGCCTGTTCAAGGCCAGGAGAACTAACTTCTGCTCATGTTCATGAGTCTTCTGGAGAGTCATGATAAAATCAAGCTGTGAGTGTCCAGCCTTCTTCTTGTCCACAGCTTGAGAAAGAATTATTTGTCTCTGTGTTTATCACATGCTTTCCCCTATAAACCTTCCTGCTGACAATCAGTCATGGTCAGGTATGTGTTTTACTACAAAAATCCAGAGATTATTTCTTTCCCCACTAAGAGTATCCTTTCCCTTAATTTTTTCTATAACTGCAAAATCAATTCCTCCAATAGAATGAACTAACCTATCCTCAAGCCTGCACCTTGAATGGTTTTGTGTTTCCTTTTCATGTAGCACAAAACCAAGTTTTGATTAAAAGAATATTTTACTATTATAGGATGGATGGCACATCTGGGAATTGATCTCTCTCCTTTTCTCCCTCTGCCCCCTCCTTTTAGACCCATGAGAAACTACATGAACAGCCTACAAATGGAAAAGTTAACACAGCATATTTAGCACTCAATTGTGAACGCTCTAGTCTGGGACGTAAAACAGCTGTATGCCATTGGACATGTCCGTGGAGGAACCCTTATGGAGCCAAGTGCAACATTTAGAGTCTAGATTTCCTAGCATGTTCTCCTTAGAATGGCCTTTCCACAGAAAGCTGTTTGGTTCTGAGTCTGCACAGCATCACTGATGTCTGGAGATGGAGGCTATGTGTAATTTTGCAGAAGACCTTATAGTCTCTTTTAATTTTGATGCCCCAAGAGAAATTTTCATCAATCATTTTCAGCTCTTTTAATTAACCTACAATAATGCAATGACCTATCATCATTCAACAACCTTTTAAAAATATCAACTGTGGGACTGCTTACATTTTTCAAAAAGTGCTAAGTGTGAGTATTGTAGGAAGGTAGGTTTACAAATATTGGGCTCTAGGGGGCCCATCCTGAAGGTAACAGGTTTTTATAACTGACGGGAATTAAACCTGTGGGGACCTTTATTTTTCTGGAAACCCAGAATATAAATTTTCTTTTGCATTTTGTGTAGGTTGCCAATCATGCAGGTATACAAAATCAGAGCTAGGCATCAGTATGGACATATATGTTAGGAGGTAACTTGAACAGTGCTCTACTGTTCATCGCAAGCTCCTTATCATTTTGCCTTTTTCAGGCAACCTTAGATTTATTTATTAAATCCATCTTTATTAAACATCCTCTGTGTATGCATGATACATCGATGAATAAATCACAGCCCCTGTTTTTAAAAGGGTTGCTGCCTTGTGGTGGAAAGTTACCTCCTACCAGGCTGCTACATGGTCTCTGCACTGACTGCAGAGCCTGTACTCCCTGCAGCGGCGCTGATAGGGCACTGCCTGTGCTGATCAGTTGTTCCATATTTTGAACACCACTCCCAGATACAGAGATGACAGGAGTGCAATGTGCTAGACATATCAGAGAGGAACACAGGGTGATGTGAAGGTGGCAGGAGAAGCCTTTGACCCTGGAATCAGGGAAAGGGTGGGAGAGAGGGCAGGGAAGAGGATCCCTGGGCTCAGTCTCTAAGGATGGACAGGACATGCTGGCCGCCAGAAGAGGAAATATTTCAGGTGGGGGCACCACTAACTTGGATATAATCTGAGAATCAAACATGTGTTTGGAATTAGACTTCTACACGAGAATTAGCAGAGGTTTGAAACAGGAGTTTGGAGCTTGTATGACATGAGAAAGGGAAGGAAAATCTGGAACTGAATATGACTTTCCCCTTAGGCATACAAGCTATGTCTAGGGGTTCCTGACCTGTGTGCTCATAGAGGTCATGTCTCAGTGACTATATCCCATCCCCAGAATCTCATCTTAGCCAAACTGCAGAGACAGAGAGCTTTAATGAGACCCCTTTCCACTATCACCCTGGGAATCCACTTTACTACAATGAGTTTGTATTCTTTGGGCTTTTACTTGTGTCTTTCCTTGTGCCCCATACGTTTTCCTTTTATCCTTAGCATATTTTGCACATCTGTCTATCTCTCCCCTTGTGAGATTGCTCTGAGAAGCTCCTTCAATTTCTCTTTTAGTGGAGATTTGATACATGTATAAACAGTATGTGGATGGATGGGTCATGAGATTTTTCATTATATACTCTGATTTATTTATAGATAGATACGTGTAGATAGAGCTGGCCACTGTTTAAAAATTTAAAAACTCATTTATGCTTAACTACTAGCTAATGTTTATATTTCATATAGATGAAATGGTTTAATCATATCTTAGGAACTATAATCTTTCACCCTGGAGAAATCTCTAACATATAGCTTTAATAATTTCTTACAAATGATATCCACCAATAATAACTGTTAATAATAGTTTATAATGATTTTTCTGTTTATTTGTTTTAATGTGAGGAACTTTATAAAAACCAATAAAATATAAAATAAAGTATAGAACTTTAAAAAATTCAACAAACCCAGTGAATCCAAGAAATCCAAATCCAGTGAATCCAAGAATTGTTTCAGTGTGAAGCTCACCACATCTCTCAGGCCCCAAACTATGCTGGCCTCCTTTCTGTGAGCGAGGGCAGTGAGGCTCCCCACTGGTGGTTAAAGGGCTGGAAATAGACTATATGGCTATCCTTCCTAACTCTTAACTTCTAAAGTAGGCGTCAGAGCAGCTTTTGGCTAGTGCAATTGACTTGTACACAAAGTTGTTAAGAGGAGAAATAGAATCCTGTGTGTTGTAGATGAACCTATGAACGTGTCTTGACTTGATGGAAAGAGGAGAAAATAACAGAGAATTGTGAAACCAGAAGCAGCAATATACACAGCAGCTAGCCACTACTCTGCTGATGGGAATATATATCATCCAGTACAGAGAGACACACTCCAAGAGGTGTTCTGATCTTAAAGGGTAGAGAAAATAACAAAAATTATGATTAGCAAACACTTATTTTTGCCATTCTCTGTGTTAAATGTTTCATTCACAC